AGCCTACAAGTAAGGAAGCAAATGTTAGAAATATCTACAATTCAAAGTTTTAAAATGATAATGGAATGGCCCTCGAACTTACCTGATTCAGAGCGTGCTGGGCCTCATTGAACAAACAAGCGGCTTCCATATCATCCATATTGTCTTGGTCTTCTTTGGTGACCAAGCATCGTAGATAGCTAGCCACCCCTACAGGGGGAGAAAGAACCCGAGCATCCTCTGGGACCGAGATGATAATTGATCGCTTACGCCCGGGATCAACACTGGGGGCCAGAAACTGATTGGTCAGTTTAAAGCTCGATGAAGCCTCACTCGAGTTCTTCCTCGGTACATCCAAGTCACCAAGACCTGTGACATATTCCACTCCAACAAAATAGCCACGGAAAGGGTCTTCTACTCCATGGACCTCTTCCACCTGAGCTTCATGCATCAACGACTCAGTGAATGAAGGAAACGAGGGGGAATCTCCAATATCTACCACCCAAGTAAATCTTTTGGGGCACCAGCATCGACCGCCTCCTCGATAGCCTTCTTACCTCGCGGTGAAGCGTCTTCAGTTCATTTTGGCTCAGGGACTTCGTCAAATCGAGGCAGAGCAGTTTCAGCTCCCGCCGGCTTAATAGTCCCTTGAATCTTGGTGCCAGCTCGCACATGGGCCACCAGCCCGGAGTCTTCTTCTTCTTCTTCTTTGGCCTCATCCCTTAGCCGTTGGACTGACTCTAAAGTTAGAGGGATGACGTTCCCCTTGGGTTTACGAGCTGCTTTCTTTGGGGTTTCTGCCCCTCAGAGTTCATGGAATTCGAAGCCCTTTTCCTCTTTTTCTTCTTCTTCACCGGCTTTGAGAGAGGTGGAGGGGGAAGGGTTTCTTCTTTAGCAGATGGAGACCTCATAGCTACATCCTTCCCGAGGCCTACAAAAGGAAAAAAGACGAGTAAGTGCAATGCAAAAACCGAATGGAAACCATTCTAAGAAAAGAAGGTTACCATGATTACGGGCCTCCGATTGACCCTTTAACAACTTCATCCAAGAACGCTCGGAGTATGACTTCTGCGACACTAAGCCCTTGACCCATTGCTTAAGATAGGGGATTACTTCCGGCATATGGGCCACAACTACAACAAAAAGAAAACATAGATGAGGAAACAAGATGAGAAGTAAAACGACAAAATTAGATATTCAAGGCGAAGCAATACTTAAGATTCATGTTCTATTTTTCAGGGAACGGCATGTCTTCGGCGAGGATTAGGTTTGAAGTCCTTATTCGAACAAATCGGCCCATCCAACCTCGGTCTCGGGTCTCGTCTATGCTCGATCGGGGGTTTGGTGGCTCGGCCGTAAATCTTGATCAATCCTCCCTGATAAAGTCGGGGATTGTAGAGATGCATAAGGTGATCGAGGGTAAAAGAATACCCCTCGATCTTGCGAGGAGGATCACGATCCTCCAGAATGATGGATGGGTCTGGCCAAGGGTCACATCATACCTCTTGCAGAAGGCAACGATGATGGGGTCTAAAGGACCGAATGTGAAAGGATAAGTGTAAACACTTAGAAACCCTTCGACATGGGTAGTGATTGATTCCTCAGGTCAGGGAACCACCACATGTTTGTCGACCCAGCTGCAGTCCTATTTAACTTGGTCGAGGAGATTGTCTATAATTGTGCATATGTACCTCGACATCGGTTTGCATCGACCTGGTACCGAGGGTATATTATCTACCTTAAAATCAGCAGTAGGGCACTTTGTCGGAGCGAAGTCCTCTAGGGGAGGTTCCGCCACGGCTCTGTCGCTGGGAGGCCTTGATGAAGAAGCGTTTTCCTTTTGCGAAACAGTTTTTGAAGTCTTAGCCATTTTATTTCTACGAATGACGAAGAATGTAAACCGAGAAGAAATACTTGGTATTTTGTGACGAAATAGGCAAAGAAACACCAGAGATATGAAAACACAAAGCTTTCAGGAAGGCAAAGGAATTTTGAAGATTAGGGCAAAGAAGATTTAAAAGTAAAGTTTGACAAAAGAAGAATGATACATTTATAGGTTTAAGATGACGGTTAAAATTCGGTAGTGGCCGACCGTCGACTGGCACGCATTAAATACATGGAAAACTGCATCGACGAGACGTTTTGATTACTTATGTTGCTTATATCATGATGCTTATGTCATGGTGTATCGAGGTGAAGATCGAGGGCTCAAATCGTTTCTTGTCATTACTCTCCAAAAAATGAGGGGATTATCTGTATAAGGTCAAAATCGCGCTTGCCCTTTTTGTGTGACTGATCGAGGTTGGAGCATGATAAGTGAAGGATCGGCTTCTATTTATATCAACCTATGGTGCGGACATAGGTTGTCAAGCTCGAAACCTTGAGACCGATTAAGCTCGAGACTTTGAGACCAATTAAGATCGAGACCGACCAAACCGAAACCGGCCAAGATTGAGATCGACCAAGATCGAGACCGAATAAGATGGAGTTCGAGGGAAGATTACTGGGTCGAATAACGGAAATACGAAATATCCGTAATCGGGCGAAGATCAATGCGAAAATCATGGCACGTATCAAGAAGAGGCCGATTAATTAGCCAATCATGGGATTTCTTACTGTATTTAGAATTGTACCAAGAGTAGGACTCCCCTACTATATAAAAGAGGCCTGATCATTTGTAAAGGAGAACACATCCATGTTACATAAAGCAATATACTCTCTTTTTCTTAAGCTCTCAATACTCTGTCACTTTGTTCATACTTTCCAATGAGATAATTGTTTGGTTTTTTACTCTGTTATTGTATTCTTGTATCAACCAAATCTCCATTTGGTTCAAGGGTGATCAAATTCGATGGCCAAGTCTACTTGATTCGTTTGGTTTGATTTAATTTCTATTTACTGCCAATTTCAATATCAATTTACGTTTTTGCTCAGTTTGTGCTAAGTAAAATCACGTATCCTTAAAACCACAATACAAATTCAATTGTTATCCATTTTTAGGGTAAACACACGCGAATTTGTGAAGCTCCCCTGGTCAAGCCATCTTTCACACATGTGCATACCTGGTCGCACCTGCGGCTCCGCTTCTACAGTCTAAGGTCTGCAATTGCGGACTTCCCCTAGAGCTTCCTTCTTCGCTTTTGTGATCCTTCAGTCGCACATACGACTCCGCATCTGCGGCCAAGCCCACCGCAGATGCGACCACACCAGAAACCATAAAGCTTCAGTAATTGCTACTTGTTTGATTTATTCATTTCTCGCTCAATATTTGTTTAGGTGCTATATGTTCCTACCTGAATTAATTGTATAACTTCATTATTTTATATTTTACTCGCCTTTATTGTCTTATGGTTATCCTCCGTTTGTACTGTCGATGTTTTGTACGTTGTATTTCCCTTTCGTGTTGAGATTCTGCCATTGGTTGTGTTGAGTTGTTTATATTTATGCATTAATATTGGGAACGGGTTGCGCGCCACAATAATATTATAATGAATTGATATTAGGATCGGATTGTACGCCGCAACAGATAATAATATGATATGATATTGGGATCGGATTGCACACCGCAACAGATATTATGATAAATGTTGGGATCAGGCTGCACGCGACAATAAGTATTTTGATAATTATTGGGATTGGGTTGCGAGCCGCAACAGAGTATGGTGTGCTGTAGCTATTAGTAGTTGTAGAGTTTTTTCTCGGTACTATGATATGAGATTTGAGATCATATTATTCTGGGGGCCTCTGGTAATTTACACTCGGATCCGTTTTTATGAGTTCACTGCTTTATCTATATTTTCGTATTTTGTCATTGTTATTCGTACAGGTTTATTATGAGTGTCTTATTATAGCCTCGTCACTATTTCATCGAAGTTAGGCTCGACACTTACAGAGTACATGAGGTGTGTTGTACTCATACTATATTTCTGCACTTCTTGTGTAGATCCCGATGTTGATCCTAGCGGTGCGTAAAGGAGTTCGCTCGGATTAACTTGCCTGGAGACTTGAGGTAGAGCTGCTTGGCGTCTGCGGTCTCTGAAGTCCTCTTCTATCTTGTTTTGTTGTTATTCTAGTTTCAGACAGTATTGTATTTCATTTCAGACCATGTTTGTAGTATTCTAGACACTCATGTATTCGTGACACCGGATTTCTGGGATTAGTATAGACTGTGGTATTTATGGATTTATCATATGTATTTTAGTTTTTACCAATCGTTAGTTATTATTGTTACCGTTCTGCTTTTAAACTGTTAAAAAGTTATTTCGGGTCGTACGGTTGTGATTTCGGGTCGTGACAATTTATTTGCTTATCAACGATAAAAAGTTATTTTTTTTACAGTAATTTTATACCTTTAAGATGAAATATCTTTCATACCCGCGTGAAACGCAACTAAATTCACTATTCTAGAATACAGAAGGTTTACCAATAAACAATCAATTTAATAAAAGGTGGAATGGGGATAAAGCTAAATTTTATCATTCTTATATAAATTGTGAACAATTAAACAACACATGCAAATTTTGTCAATCCAGTAGAATTTTGTGAACAATTTATATCAAAGTTATGATTGCTCATCATAACTTGAGAACAAAATAAGTTTTGCTAATCCGTCATAATTTTTGTGAATTATTTGTAACAAAGTTATGGCTCACCTGACATAACTTGTAAAAATATTATATTTCATTCCTCCAATATAACTTGTGGAAAAGTTATGATTGGTTTGTAAAACTTATGACCTGTCAGATTATTATTTTTTCATAAAGTTTTTAAACAGAGACAATTTAAGCAACTGCCTTAAATGATCCCATTTGTTCAATTTTCCCACTTCCTCATAAGATTATTTGGCAGAAGGAAATGGATATATTTCTATTGTCGAAGCCCAAGGAAATGGATAAGTGGCGAAGAAATCGCGGTGAAGCTAATCAGGGGCAATTCCGACATTTGGACTGGACGCGGATCATGTTATTCGTTGCTACATTTGTAGTCGTTAAAAGTGCTTATAAAGTGTGCGGCTGTGTGCTCATTTTATAATTTCTCAATTAAAAAACATCAGACAAGACTGTACGAATCGAAGCACTTTTCATAAATTTAAAAAATGGCTACAATAACTACCAATTCAATCTCATTCTCAATTTTGCCCTCCGTTAATCCTCTTTTCCCCTTCCTCTCCCTCTCTCCACTCCTCTCTTGTTTTCGCCGCCGGAAACCGCCTTCCTTCACCATCGCCGCCGGCTCCTCCCGCCGGAAACCGCCTTTCGAGCCACCAGACTCCAAAATGTCAGTCTCAGTTCAGATTCCGGCAGCTTCCACCCGGCGAGATCTCGAGACTGAACCGTTGCTAGATTCTAGAAACCGTGAGTTACTTACAATCATAAAAATGATTTAATGATGTGGATGTGATTAATTTCAATTTTAATTACCTCATTTTTATGTTAATTTATTTTTAGTTAACTCAATTTATCAACTATACCTCACTCCTTAACTGGCTGGATTGAATCCTCTTATCGAATATACTTTATTCCACATTTTGCTTAGTAGAATTATGAAAAATCAAATAAAAAGTTATTAGCTTTTCTTTTAAGCCTTTTTTTTTCTCTGAAATCAAGGAAAGCAAATAGAGCGAGTTAACAGCTTCTGAATGTATAAATCAGGTTCGAGTGTGTGATTGTTGATAGTTATAGTTTCGAGTTGGGATAGCAGGCAATTGAAGTTTTACTGTTTGTTAATATTCCGTACCTGATTAATAAGGTCTTGCTGTAAAACCATGTAGTCATGGTATGTATTTCCAAAGTTAATATTAATCATTTAGTGCATCTGAAGTAGTAGGAGCACAGTGTTGATTCAATTCGAATTGTTTGGATAACATTCTTATGCGTGTATCATTCAAAGGGGTTGCTCAGTGGAAGAAATAAGAAGGGCAGCACAGTACACTAAGCTTTCGCTATGCGCAGGGTCAAGGGAATGGCCAAAGCACATTGAGTTTTCTGTACGCAGCCTTACCTTGTATTTTTGCAAGAGGCTGATTCCGCGGCTTGAATCCGTGACTTCTTGGTCACTCGGCAGTAACTTTTACCGTTGTGCCAAAGCTCACAGGAAGGAACTTGTAATAAGATTTCCTTGGTACTAATAACAATAGATTAGCCTCTCTACCCCAGGGTAGGTGTAGAGGTAGGGGTAAGGTCTGCGTACACACTACTCTCTCCGGACCCCACTAGTGGAATTATACTGGATTGTTGTTGTTATTGTAATAACAATAGATTAAAGTGTGGTCCATTTCTACATTGTTATTTGTGCAAATCAGGGAAGAGTGAGTTGGCATGCACTGTGAGGAAATAGTTTAACACAAGACCTAGAAAGCATTATAGGATGGATTAAATGAAACTGGAGCTTTAAGTTAGAGGGAGCATATGATTGTCATATTGGAGATTTTAAATAATCTTCCTTGGAAAAGGATTCTTCAGAGGATAATTTATAGTAGAGAGTGGATTGTACCTCATGGCTCATGATGTTCAATCATCAGGGATATCCACGTCTGATCATAGCTGAGAGAGCCAGTGCACCTTAGACTAAAGCTAGCAATTTCATAGCCTCCCACGTATGTACTATGTATAGTTTTCAGTATAATTTAGCAGATCTTAATCTCTTTAGTTTAGACTCTTTTTGGAAAATTTCCTAAATATAACCTGCCCTTCTATGAGCGAGAAATTGCTCTTATACGTCATTTCCGCTTTTGGTGCTTAGTATTCAGTAGGTTGTCAAGAAAAATGTTTCAAGAATCTCATCATGGATTTAGCACCCTCATGCTCATACATGGTGGCTTATGTGAGCTCCTTTTCTACTATTTTGTTTGTGTGGTTGTTCTTTTTGGCTGTCTCACTCATATTTTACATTCTCCAATATGATCATATGCAGGAAAGGGGGATCAGCCGACAACCACTGTCCAAGAAGATTCTGTCTTGTCCAATAAAACTGTGCCTCACAAGAACAAATATTCTCTTCGTTCAATCAGTTGCTTTGGAGTGGATCTAACCCCAGATAACATTGCTGTTGCTATGGTATATTTTGTTCAAGGCGTCCTGGGACTTTCTAGGCTTGCTGTTAGCTTTTACTTGAAAGATGACCTACACCTAGATCCTGCAGAGGTATGTCATCTTGATAGGGTAATTTGTTTCCGTTGTTTTTTAATCTTCCCTAGTTTAACAAAATCATCTTCATCAGATTCAAACTGCAGAGGTTTCTTCATCAGAGGCTTGCTGTTTTTTCTAAATTTGGATACCTAACTTTGTCATACTGAATTATGAGTTGTTACAGAATTTAGACTACAGATTCAGTTTTTTGAAATACAATTCTCTCTCGAACTTAGACTGCCATCAGTTATTCCTTCTTTTTCAATTAAACTATCCTTTGTGATTATCCGAAAGCGTCCACCTTCTTGCACATTTAAAAGGAAAACCTCTTTACACGTTTCTTCTCACTTCTCCCCTCACCATTTTTGTTGAGTACACAAACTGACAAGTTTATATGTGACTGACTAGACAGCTATCATATCTGGTTTCTCATCATTGCCGTGGCTCGTAAAACCATTGTATGGGTTCATCAGGTTGGTATCAATTATCCTTTCATCCTTATCCTTCTATCTATTTAATGAAAGATTTCAATAAATGAGTTTTTCCCGTGTAGCGATTCCTTCCCTCTCTTTGGATATCGGAGGAGATCATACTTGGTACTCTCAGGGCTCCTTGGGGCATTCTCATGGTTTTTGATGGCCACCTTCGTTGATAGCAAGTATAGTGCTGCCTTCTCCATACTTATTGGTTCTCTTTCTGTCGCTTTCTCAGACGTTGTAAGNCGTCGCTTTCTCAGACGTTGTAAGTTCCTTTTGTTTCTAGTTAGTTTCAATAAATTCATACTAATGTTGTTATGTTCTTTGCATAGTTATACTTTTTAACTGATCCGAAGGTTGATGACAATCTGTTTGGCTTTTGACCTTTAGTTGAGTACTCGTTATGCTCTCATTTTTGTTCCTGCAGGTATTTCATTGCATTAATAAAGAATTCTTGCTAGTTATACATGAGCGTAGCTTAAAGTTTGTTTTGTCTTTTGAAATATTGAAGGAAATCCTTAATTGCAACCTTGGCAATAGGGATGTAGGTAAGATCAGAGACTCAGTTGTACCCTAATATGTTCTAAGTTTTCAACAACTCATTCGAGAGAAAAACTTATCAAACTAGTATGATAATGGATGTCTCAAAAGTTCAGAAAGGTTGTCTAGAGTTCATTGGCGTGTCAAATATGTGTCAATAGGTAGTACACAACTACTCGGCTTTTAAATTTTTATCTCTTATTGTTTGTTGTATCCCTTATCATTTCCGAGTTTTCATTGCTTGTTCTTAGAAGAAATGAGGAGAACGAAAGGAAACATTCATTTGTCCTTTGTGGTTTTGGGAATTTCAAACTGGAAGTAGTCTAAGGACCTGCTTATAATTTTGGAAACACTCCCTTAAGCTTAACCTAGTTAGACAGTGCTAGCTAGCCACACTAAATGACCATTACAGCACTGCTGCACTGCAAGTATCTGTTCTTCTTTCATTCTGAGCACTACCTCTTCAAAAATTTTGAATTTGCAAAATCATGTGATTGCTCTCCACAAATGTTGTTGGCGTTTCTCCTGAACTAACCATTGATGTGCTTGTGCGAGTGGGCAAGTGCTTCTTCGCATCGACTTTGTCATCCTTGATTGTGGGGTAGATAAGGAAATCCCCATCATTATGGGAAGAACACTCCTTGCAACTGGAAGAGCACTTATGGACTTAGAGAAAAATAAAATTAAATTCCAGGTGAATAATGAAGAGGTGACTTTTCAAGCGAGCAAAGGCATGAAGCTACCAAGTGCATATGAGAGCATCTTGATGATTGATGTTGTTGATGTGGTAGGGTAGCCCGGTGCACTAAGCTCCCGCTATGCGCGGGGTTTGGGGAAAGGGCCAGATTGTACGCAGTCTTACCCTGCATTTTTTGCAAGAGGCTGTTTTCACGGCTCGAACCCGTGATCTCCTGATCACATGGCAGCAACTTTACCAATTACGCCAAAGCTCCCCTTCATGTTGTCGATGTGGTTGAGATGGAAATGGTAGAAGAATGCCTCATTGAAGCATTGGCGGCAATCTTGGTGAACTTTGATGGTATATAGCAGTGTTGTGAAGAGCGTGAAGCGAGGAAAAGCGACAACCCCCATTTCGCTTAAAGCGAGAAGCAAAACTCTCGCTTTTTTGAAGTGAAGCGGAATTTTTTAAAAAAAAATTAAAATAAATACTGCATAGAAAATTCTGAGAAAAACTGGGCAAAGAAAGAAGAACCCAAGGATTGACATTAATTTTGAGAAAGAACCGAAGGTAAAAAAAAAAATTCTCCAGTATTTCGCTGCTATTTGGACATTGAAACAGTGAAAGAAGAAGAAGAAGAAGAGGAAAATCAGAACATACCTGTTGCTGTTGAAGACTTGAACTTGAAGTTGAAGAAGAAGAAGAACCCTAGTGTAATGCTCTCAGATGCTCTACTTTAAAACCCTAGTCGCTGTTGTTCGTTTAATAAAAGACATAACAATTTTGTTTTTAATTAAATAGCCTGGGTCTGTTTTAAAACAAAGAAGCGGTCGCTTCTTTCGCATCGCATCGCATCGCTTGGTCGCTTCTTGCTTTTTAGTGGGAAGCAGTCGCTTTTTTATACCTGAGTCGCTTCACCCATGTGAAGCGGGCACTGAGTCGCTTCGCATCGCTTCTCGCTTAAAGCGAGGAAGCGAGCGCTTTTTTAATCACTGGTATATAGAAGGGTTTGCGGAGACTGTGAATGCACTTGAAGGGTTAGGTTCGTACACCTACAAATCAAAGAAGCTTTCTCTTGACTTAGAGAAAATGGGTCACTCCTCTCGCCAATCCATCAATTGTTGAGCCACCACAACTTGAGCTCAAACCACTACCACCACACTTGAGGTATGAATTTCTTGGCCTTAATTATACTTTACCCGTAATTGTTTCTTCTTTGTTGAGTGATGTGCATGTCAAGCGATTATTAGAAATTTTAAAGGGCTATCGGTGGGGCAATAGCGGATATTCGGGGGATTCTCTCCGGTATTTGTGAGCATAAGATTCAACTTGAAGAGGATAGCAAGCCGAGTGTGGAGCACCAAAAGAGGTTGAGTCCCTCCATGCAAGAGGTGGTGAAGAAAGAAATCATCAAATGGTTGGATGCCGAGGTTGTCAACCCCATTGCGAATAGCCCGTGAGTGAGTCTGGTACTATGTGTTCTAAAGAAAAGAGGCATAATTATGGTACAAAATGACAAAAATGAACTCATCCCAATAAGGATAGTAACCCGATGGAGGGTGTGCCTGGATTACCAGAAGCTTAATGGAGTCGCTTCCAAAAATCATTTCCTATACCTTTTATTGGTCAAATGCTTGATCGGCTAGCATGAAGGTCATTTTACTGCTTGTTGGATGGATATTTCGGCTACAATCAAATCAACATAACTTTGGCGGATTAAGAGAAGACAACATTCACTTGTCCATATTGGACCTTTGCCTTCATTAGAATGTTGTTTGGGTTATGCAATGCCCAACCACATTTCAAAGGTGCATGATTTTATCTTCTTGGATGTGGTGGAAGACTTCTTGAAGGTGTTAATGGACGACTTCTCCGTGGTTGGTAATTCATTTGAAGATTGAATGATTGAAGTAATTCATTTCAAGTCCTTAAAAGATTGAAGTAATCAACCTTATGCTAATTGGGAGAAATACCACTTTATGGTGGATGAGGGAAATGTCCTTGGTCACAAGATTTCCAAGAGGGGTATCGAGGTTGATCGAGCCAAAATCGAGATTATTTCCAAGGGTGTTAGAAGTTTCTTTGGGCAATGCCGGATTCTATCGGTGATTCATCAAAGACTTCTCAAAAATTGCAAACCCCATGGCAAGCTTCTTGAAAAAGATGCAATGTTTGTGTTTGATGAGAAGAGCCTCAAAGCATTTGAAGAGTTGAAAGAAAAGCTCACCACGACGCCCATTATTATTACTCCTGATTGATCTCGTCCCTTCGAACTTATGTGTGATGCTAGAGGAGTGCTATTGGGCGGTGCTTCGCCAAAGGCACAATAAAATTTTGCACCTCATTTATTATGCTAGCAAAACCCTCAATGGAGCGCAAATAAATTATACGGTGACCGAGCAAGAGTTGCTTGCCATTGTCTATGCCTTTGAAAAGTTTCGAACATACTTGTTTGGGGTCAAAGGTGATAGTCTTCACGAATCATGCCGTTCTCAGTTATTTTATGGCAAAGAAGGACGCCAAGCCAATGTTGATTAGATGGGTTCTTTTATTGCAAGAATAAGAATTTGACTTTGGAGTCAGGATCGAGAAGGCACAAAGAACCAAGTTGCGGATCATCTATCTAGACTTGAGGAAGCGAGGAGACCAAATGGAGAACTTGAGATTAATGATGCTTTCTCGGGTGAGCAACTCTTGGCATTATCTAATACTTTAGCCCATGGTATTACCGATATCGCTAAGTTCTTGGTTGGTGTTGACGAAATAGAATCTTATCAAAAGAAGAAGCTTTTTAGGGAGTATAGGCAATATTATTGGGAAGAGCCCTATTTGTTTCGAATATGCGCCGACATCATTAGGCGTTGTGTCCCCGAAGACAAGGTGATGCCTATGCTCAAGGCATACCATAGCTCTCCGGTTGGGGGTCATTATGGTGGAAATTGGACGACGGCGAAAGTTCTTGAGTGGCTACTATTGACCAACCATTTATCAGGATGCCAATTTGATGGCAAAATCATGTGACCAATGCCAAAGGCAAGGGTCGATTTCCAAAAGGCATGAGATGCCTTTGAACTTTGTAATGGAGGTGAAAATATTTGATGTGTGGGGATCGACTTTATGGGTCCCTTTGTGAGCTCGTATGGCATGACATACATCTTGGTGCACGTAGGCTATGTATCGAAATGGGTTGAAGCGGCAACTTTGCCAAATAATGAAGCGAGGAGTGTGACGGCCTTCTTAAAGAAAAACATCCCTTAGTGATGATGGAGCTCATTTTTGCAACAAGGCCTTTGCGGGGTTGGTAGAGATTTATGGTGTAAAGCACAAAGTGACCACTCTATACCATCTTCAAACGAGTGGCCAAGTTGAAGTCTCAAATCAAGAATTCAAGAGCATCCTAGCCAAAACGGTTAATGCAAATAGGACCGATTGGTCGAGGAAGTTAGATGACGCTCTTTGGGCATATAGGACAACGTTCAAGACTCCTATTGGGACTTCACTTTACCGATTGGTTTTTGGTAAGGCATATCATTTGCGCCAGTTGAGCTGGAGCATAAAGCTATGTGAACATTGAAGAAGTTGAACCTTGAATAGAACGAAATGGCTAATTTGAGAATATCTCACCTCAATGAGATGTATGAGTTTCGATTCCAAGCTTATGAGAGTGCAGCCATGTACAAGGAGAGGATGAAGCACTTTCTTGACAAAAAGATCTTGAAGGAGTTCCAACTCGGTGACTTGGTCTTACTTTTCAACTCTAATTTCCTCTCCTTTGTGATTGCCCACATCTTGAACATAAGCTTTTTGCGGAACTCTTCCAACTTCAACAACAATAGGCACCTTTTACATGTGCCTTTTCTTCTTTTTCAACATCTTTCACTTCAATCACTTTCTTTCTCTCATTTTAAAGTAGTGTCCCACTTCGAGTTGTATTAGCTATGCAATAAAATGTTTGGCCACCCCATTACCCTTTAGATTCGCAATTGTATCACTTGGAAGTGTGCTTTTTTGCTTTCGATTTTTCTCTCTTGAAAGATCTCTCATTTGCAACTCCAATTTATGAATAGAAGTGGTGTGAGAACTCACAAGTTCGGCCATGTTCTTGATTGAAATGTCGGAATTCTCTTGGTTTTGCAAACCCCTTTCAAGCATTTTCTCCAATTTGGAACTAACTTGATAATGTTGAGAGTTAGAATATTGGCCTTTCGGTGGAACATAGGGATTTAAGCTCTGATTCTAAAGTTGTTGTTATTGTTCCAATTTTCTTGATTCAGATTACCTTGGTCGTTTCGCCATTGTTGGGTACGTTGCCCTTGCGGGTTAGGTCTCCATTGATTCTTTTGCCCCAACCCTAATTTTCTCTTTGATACCCTCCTTAAGAATTGTTGACATAAATCACTTCCTCATATTCTTTTGGAGGGTATTCTTGGTATTGGGCTTCTTGATTTTGATAGTTAAAGTTCGGCACCGATTGTACTTCTTCCCCAACATTCGCCTTCTTTGTTTGGCTTTTCGTGAATATTTTTGTCAAAACGTTCATATTGGTAGCAAGACCGGTAATCACTTTATCTCTCTCTTAATTTTCCTTGCGATAGTGGTAAAAAAGGGGACTCATATGAAACACCACCATCCATGTCGCTCGAATGCCATTCTTGATTATGTTTGGCGACCCAGTCAAGGATTTGGGTGATTACCGCAAATGTTATCCATGAAAGACCCATTGGCCGCCGCACTGTTAGCTACAAATTGGTTCATGGGATCCAAAACCTTGTAGAATTTCTCAAACAAGATGTTCTTCAGAAACCCATGATTTTGTGATCGTACCAAGTATTGCTTGAATCTCACCCAAGCTTCATGAAGTTGTTCCCCCTGAAAAAAATTGTCTTGGAGTTCCGCCCTCTTGCTTGGTGGAATCCATTTCCCGAGGAAGACATGCACTAGCTCGCCCCAACTACGGATGGAGTTTTGAGGTAGATTGTGAAGCCATGTTCTTGTCTCGCCAGCTAGAGTGTATTTGAAGACTCTCAACCTCAAATGCATTATCTGACGCATAGTTTTGCTTGTGCAATGTGCATACGCCCAAGAATTTTTTGAGATGTTGATTTGGGTCATCGGTAGAGTTCCGAAAGAACCCCTCAGCCTTTAGTATTGTGTAGAGACTGACGTCCACCTTGAAGGTAGTCACATCAACTCTCGGAGGGACAATGACATTCACATCCTCAACAATTTGATCCATATTCGCAAACACATTGTCAGGGTCACCCTTGCTTGCCTAATCTCACAAAACAAGGCAAATAAAGTGTGATAGAATAGAATAAAGGCTTCAAGTACAGTGCACTCTAATTAGTAATTTCAAAGTCGTATTCCTCGGTAACGATGCCAAAATTTGATACACTCAAATTACACCTATATAAATGGTGTAAGGCGGTCGATGTCAAATATAATAACCCAACTAAATTGTGGTCGAATCTCATAGAGAATAGGCGTGAAAAGTTTACTTTACTAGTGTGGTACTTCACTATGGTCGTAATTCTTTCCCGTTAGTTTGAAAAGAGTTTGATATTGCTAATCTATTTAAGAGACACTATTTTGTTAAAAGATCTAACTATTTGGATTAAGAAACCAAGGTTGTGTCCCCTTTAATGGAGTATAATGCTATAGGTGTTAATATGATATATTTCCAATGGGAATTTTTAAGTGACTACCCAATATTTTTCAATAGTTTGGTAGAATCTCCTCTTTATGATTTTCCCAAATACAAAAGAGTTACAAATAAGAGTGACCAATTTATGGCAAGTAGAATCCTCTTATTCCTTAAATGATTACTATTAAATAAGGTTTAAAGCCTTGAGTTCTTGCTATTTACTTTTACCAAACCCTGACCCATTAAATAAAATGGCATAGGTTAATTGTTGCCACTACCAACCATAAATGAAGAAAGAGAAGATGAATAGAAATCAACAACCCATTATATGTATATTCAATGGTAAAAACACATTAATATTACACCCATTATTGGTTCCACAACCTTAGTAATAAAATTAGCTACTCATGACAATTAGAATAACAACACTAAGCATTAAAATCTTATAGCGGAGAAAGTAAAGGAATCTTCTTCTCAAAAGCTTCAAAGGAATGGTGTATTCAATCTTCCAAGAGGGACACTTTTCAGACCAAACACCCCCACAAAAACCCCAACTATACTATTTATAATGGTCCAAAAACGCGACAATAATTATGTCAAAAATGCCCCCGCAGTGTCACATGCGGACCGTCTCTTGAGCGCGTATCGAACATGCGGTCTGCATGTCGGAGTTTGGCCTTTACATGTTGAAACTAGGGCTTACTTTCATCCACATCTTGACTTGCGGTCCGCATCTTGGAGTCGCATGTCGGTCTTCAGACTGTTGATTTTCAGGATCTTCAATAAGTGTTTGAGATGCGGTCCGCATGTGGAATATACCATGCGCATCTTGGCTTTGCATGTCAATCTTCAGAATGTCAGGATCCTCAACAAGCATTTGGGATGCGGTCCGCATGTGGAATGTGCAGCCCGCATCTTTGCTCCGCATGTCAATCTTCAGAATTTTGACTTTCAAGATCTTCAACTGGTGTTTGGGATGCGGTCCACACGTGGAATGCACTCCGTGCCAACCTTCAATTGGACAACTTTCAGGACTTTTGGGCTCTCAACAGACGATGAATGTACGGTCCGCATGTTCCCTATCTCAACCTTTCAGTTTCCTTCCTCTCAGCTTTCATCTGCATTTCACTTGTGTCCAGTGCCTTCAAGATAAGATCCATATGTCATTAAATCTGGGACACTTCATGCATTTTTGCTTGTTTTTACCATTTAGCCTCAAAATCCCTACAGCACAACAATTATTATAAAAAACGACACAAAATATGCTTAAAGAATAGTAAACACTTATGCAAATGATATCAAATGTGCTGTAGTTTCACAGCACATCAACCATAATGTAGTTGTGATGTTGCAGCTCCTTTTTGTTTAAAAAAGAAAAAGAAAGGCCATAAGAATAGTGAGGTCTCAGGTCAAATCTCAGCGGAGGCAAAAAATACTAGGTGATTTCTTCCCATTTGCCTAATTCTTGGTGGGTAGAGTTACACGGTACTTGTGCTGGTAGGAGGGAGTAGGTACCCAATGGAATAGCGCAGGTGTGCACAAGCTTTGCCCAGACACCACGGTCATAAAAAAAGGGTGGGGGCATAAGAACTTATTTTAGAGTAAGCCTTCATTAGTTTGAAATTGAACAGTTGACCACTATCGACTTTTTATGCAAATCCAAGAGTTGTATAATGTAGTGTGGATGAACTGTATATTCTTTGTTGGACATGTTAGTGAAATTATCGGGTCACTAATGTATTGTGGATGAACTTTTTTCTCCACCCACTGCCATGAACAGGCTGCAACATATCAACCGATCCTTGTGTTAAATCTTGAAAATATTAATGCCACTTGGGAATTGTTGGACTTGTCATTTCCAAAAAAAAAAAAAAAAAAAAAAAAAAAAAATCAACTGCTCCAATTTCATCTCTATCGAATTTTAATATCAGAATAGCGGATATAGTCATGATTCAATAGGTCAGGTTNTTACGCTTGTTCATAGAAAAGGAGTTACTGGCCAAATGAATCTGAGTTGATTTTTTGCTTCTTTGTAATGCTCCTCTTCCTGTAGCTGGTATCTTTCCACCACATTCTTCTGGCATATATAATTGAGCAATCATGTAGGTTGTAGATTCCATGGTTGTTGAGAGGGCACGTGGTGAGTCTCAAAGCATGTCAGGATCTCTTCAGTCATTGTGCTGGGGTTCTTCGGCATTTGGAGGAATTGTGAGTGCCTACTTTAGTGGCTCCCTTGTGGATGCTTACGGTGTGAGGTATGATACTTGGTCACTCTTTCTAAATATTATGTGAGTGTGGTCTTGTGAGTAGTAATGGTCCGGATGGGTTAGTCTAAATATTTTTGGTTCCTCCAGGTTTGTTTTTGGTGCAACATCATTACTTCCTCTCATAACATCTGCAGTATCTGTACTTGTGAAAGAGCAGCCTGTACGAGGCCCAGCAAGGGGAGTTTCTTTAGGCAATGGCTTCATCGAGAGCTCAAAAAACAATTTTATGCAGTTATGGGGAACTGTTAAGCAGCCTAGCGTTCTACTTCCCACCCTATTTATTTTCTTATGGCAGGCAACACCACAGTCAGATTCTGCTATGTTTTACTTCACGTATGCTCAGTTTCAGGTTTAAATTTTAATTAATGTAAACATACATGAAAGCTACTAGTTCTAACAGAATTTTGTTCTGATTGTAGGACAAACAAACTTGGTTTCACTCCTGAATTCCTTGGACGTGTTAAGCTTGTCACTTCAGTTGCATCACTTATTGGTGTGGGGCTTTATAATGGTTTTTTGAAGAAAGTTCCTTTAAGGAAAATATTCCTCGTAATGACTCTCATTGGTACAGCTCTTGGGATGACCCAGGTACTTGTCCCAACACATCTTTTCTACTTAAGATTTATGATTTTTCTTCTGTTTTGGGGTCATGGTGGCCTTGATTTACTTCAAAGTATGATGGTTTTGTATTAGGTTCTGCTGGTGACTGGATTGAACCGGCAGTTTGGCATTAGTGATGAGTGGTTTGCTATTG